ATATATCCAGAGCATCACTTACAGGGCTGTCTGTAACCTGAATGCATATTTTAATCAGCTACACATCTAACTGCAGAAATTTAAAAAGTATAACAGATAAAACTTGAAATAGAACAATAAAACTCAGAGCAGAAATTAAATAGAAATTGAAAAGCAAACATTTATGTTAATGATAATTGACTTGTTGGTTATGAGCTAAAGGAATACAACATTTTAAACTGTAAAGGAAGAAAAAATAAAATTAATAAAAGAGAAAGCAGTGCATTGCACCTGACTCAGAGAAATGTTATTGTATAGTAAAAATGGCAGCATTCACTAAATATATAGATTAAATGTAGCTTCCATTTACATCCTTAGAAAAACTTTTTTTTTAGAATTGAAGTCTAGTCATTCTAGCTTATTTTCAAATATTACAAAGTAAAAACTTTACAGCATTGAGGCGAAAACAAAAAACACAAACAAAAAACCAGTGGACAGAATAGATATTTCAGAAATATATTCAAACTACTAAAGGACTCAGGTGTTGAAAACCAAGGATAAGTTAAAGGCGAAAGGAGTTGCCTTTAATGAATTCTGCAAGGACATTTAGGAAAATGGACTCATGTTTTTGTCCCAGTTGTGCATAAGAGATCATTTTAGGACTATTTATGAAAACAGTATTTTCAGAGATCAGATTGGTTTGTCAACATAATAGCTATTCCTCAGAAGTGTGTCAGTATCAAAAGGAAAGCAACAGGGCTTCCCTAGTGGCGCAGTGGTTCAGAATCTGCCTGCCAATGCAGGGGACACGGGTTCGAGCCCTGGTCTGGGAAGATCCCACATGCCGTGGAGCAACTGGGCCCATGAGCCACAATTACTGAGCCTGCGCGTCTGGAGCACTCCGCAACAACAGAGGCCGCGATAGTGAGAGGCCTGCGTACCACGATGAAGAGTGGCCCCTGCTTGCCACAACTAGAGAAAGCCCATGCACAGAAATGAAGACCCAACACAGCCATAAATAAATACATTTTTTAAAAAAAAAAGAAAGCAACAAAGAGAAAGGCAGAATATGGATAGTTGTTAAATCTGAGTAACGGGAGTTTACTGTACTAATTTTGCTTACCTGTATGTTTGAAATTTTCCATAATAAAACTTTTTTAAATGAAAGTAAGAGAATGAGAAATACATGTACTAAGTATAACTGATAAAAATTTTTACCCAAAATATATAAACAATGCTTATATATGTTAAGCATATATAAGTTCTGAAACCAGATTTATTCAGTGGTAAAAAGAAATCAGCAGGTACATGAGGAAATATAGGTAATAAATTATTACACAGAAAAATCTGCTTTGTTATTAAGTAGAAATAAAATTAACATGAAAGCACTGCTGTGTGCTTATTAAGCTAGAAAAAATAAAAATTGTAAAACCTTATGTTGGCTACAATATTCGCTTCTGTACTCAGTAGTAACTGTATCTTCCTGGAGGGAAAACTAGCAAAAGAAAAATATTTGTAAAATTATTCATTCCCTTTACCTAGTCTTATGGGATACACAGATGTCTAAAACATTAGTGAATGCCACACAGAATAGAATTTCTTCTCTAAAATCCTGTAAACTTAGGTGTCCCTCCCCAAAAAAAATATTTAGGTGACCTCTTCAGCCTCTTAATGATTTTATAACTATAGCAACCATGAGCACATACTGTGTGTCAGGTTCTGTATCTATTCATTTAGTCCTCACAACTTTAGGAGGGTAGCTTCTATTACTGCATCCTCCAGTTAAGGAAGCTCAATCTTGGCGAAGTTAAGTAACTTTCTCCAAATCACACGGTAGTGAACACAACCAAGATTTGAGCCTAGGCAGTCTTACTTCAAACTCCCTGCTTTAAATCATTGCTTCAAACTGCCTCTCAAAATTAATTCATTTATCAAGTAGTTGATTTCCTGTTTAGGGCCATTTAATTGCTCCTAGATAGCTGCTACTAACATGTACTAACATTATAGAGGCATTTTGGTGTAGATTCTAGATGGTTTTGACCATAATGCTGATGGGAATAAGCAGTGAAACAGATCTTCTGCTATATTCCTGATGACATTGTAAATAGGCACAGCCTTTTTTGGAAAGCATTTTGGCAGCATATTTCAAAAGCCATAAAATGCTCATATTTTTTGACCTAGTTAATGCCACTTCTGGGAATCCTCTGAAGAAACAGTCCAATATGGAAAAAGCCTTGAGCACTAAAGTTATCACCACAGCCATGTTTGTAATAAAGCAACTGAAAGCAACCCTAAATGTTCAACAGTAAGAGAATAATTAAACAAGCGATGGTATATTTACTTAGGCAGCCAATAAAATGAAGTGATATGCAACATAGACAAAACACAGCCATGAATCTTAAAAGCAGCATACAGAGCAATAAGTGCACTAAAATTATAGCTTTTACAAATATGAAAAAAGACAGGGACTGTAGAAATGCTGTGGGTAATATTTTTCTTTCTGGTATTTTTCAAATTTTCTGTCATATTTATTTCTAATTGCAAAATTAAAATCACATGATTACTTAATGTTTTTGTGTATTAGTCCCTACCTCTCGCTAGATTATAATCTGCTTGGTGACTGTAGGCAGCATATTAGAAACGTGCAAAGAGCACCACTGGAGCCAGGGAAACTTCGGGAACCTTGCCAGATGCCTCATTTACTGGTGACAGTTACTCTGTGTCTCAGCAGACTGAGTTGACCCACAAAGTGAGCAGTGCACTTTGGGAAGCACAAGTGGGATCTATGGAGTCAGGAGACCTTGCTGTGTGTCTTTGGCTCTCTCTTCTCAGACAAGCCCTTCAAACTGTGTAAAACTCAATTTCCTGATCCATAAAATTGGAGCTAGTGAGATCAAGGTCTGGCGCTCTTTCAGTAGATGCTCTGAAAATGTTTCTCCCATTCAGTTATGGCCCTTATAAAGTGTTCCTCACCTTTCTTTATCCTTGGACGATAGGAGCAAATGTAAAGTCTGTTGGCTAACTTCCTTTGCCTGAAATCTTTTGAGCAGAAGCTTTTACATGTCCATCTTCTGTCTTCTGCTGCAACTTGTTATCCATGATTTAAAGATGAAGATAAAAAAGATTTTGTCATTCAGTGTGACTGGATAAATTTTCAGTTTTGTTTTAATCATATTTTTTTCTGATTATAAAAGTATGGTAAATGCTCATTGTCAGATGTTTGGAAAATGCAGAAAACTGAAAGGAGAAAATTACACCATAATCTTTAAACCCAGAAATAACCATTATATACATTTCATTTATTTTCGTTTTAGGTTTTTCTGAGTATCTGATTTTTTTCTTTATAAAGGGGAAATATAGGAAAGTCCTCTGTCATGTTTGGGGCAGGTTTAACAGGGTGCTTTGTGTTCATTTTGAGATAGTTTTTCTTTAACAAATACATAATTCTTAGATAGGGATAAAGACCAAGCTAGCAATAGGGAACCAGATGGAGAAGGGTGGGGTAGGAATAGCTCTGCTTTGATTAGTAGGAAAAATTTTCCCGTAGTTCTGATACCTATCAAAGAATGAACTTAGGTAAAGAATAATTACCCAAATCACGCTTCCTGGACTTCTTAGTATTTTTTGGTTACTGTTTTCATTGTAAGTAGCCATGTCCCCTTTCAGGCCATGAGTTGTGAATTATGGATTGGGAAATATAATTATCTTTCACAAACTTGGAATAAAGAAGCTCGAAAGGGACTTCCCTGGCAGTCCAGTGGGTAGGGCTCTGTGCTTCCAGTGAGGGGCTATGAGTTCGATCTCTGCTCGGGGAACTAAGATCCCACAAGCCATGCAGTGCGGCCAAAAAAGAAGGTTGCAAAATACTCACAATTTCTTGGCTCCTGACCTTTTAGAACCTGCAGTTTTAAAAACTCATCAGTTCCTGTAATGTCTTCTGGAGAAAACTAGGAAATTTATCGAGTGACAGAACCAACGCGCAATGAAGACTTGGTGTGTGCTGCGGTGGCCGTGTGGGGGCAAGCACTGATGTCGCGCTACCCTGACTTGTGCTTAAATCCGAAAGAATGTGTCTGTCAGGAGATGGGAACCATTGACCCCTCCATCTTCTGGGCTTTGCTGTTCAAGGGAGGCTTCTACGGAATGAAGAAGAGAGAAGTGGGAGAAAAGGTCTTTTCTCTCTTCTTTCATTCATTGTCTTCAGAACAGCAGTCGAATTATGAAAGGTGACACAGGGTCCATCCCATGTAAATAATTTTCAATGTGGCGTATCTGTCATCCCCACTCCATTGAGGAGGACCTGAGGGATGTTTGAGGTCAGTGTGCTGGTTTGCTTCATCACTCCCCTTTGAATACGCCTTTGTGGCTTGTGCCCCTTTGACTTCTGAGGACTGCGGCCACAGGCAAGAGGCTCTTGATTGGTTGGGAATGGGTGTCCCTCACTCCTGCCTAGTGTCTGCACGTCAGGGAAGTCACTTGTCCATTGGAGTCATTTCTTCTGACAAGGCTGAGCCATCACCCCCTTACTGATGCTTGTTTGTTAACCCTTCCCAAGCATTTCCTCTTGGAGGAAAGTCACCCGACTTATTTACAGAGGAGCAAACCTAACCTGTAGCACAGTTTGAGGTTCCAGCTTAGAATTTTATTGACTTTACACAGTACTTAGGTCTGACAGGATAGTGAGAATTTGCAAGTGTCATGTGAGAGTGGAGCAGAAAACTACAGCCAGGAAACCTTCTGTTTAGAATAACCTTGGCCCCTCCAAAACTCTACTTTCCTGAGATGTAAGTTGGTACCCCACGAAGAACTGGGTATGATCTGAGATTTTTGAGGATGCTGAGTGCTAGGGGAAGTGGTATCCAGCACTGTAAAAGGGAGGAAGCCATATAGAAAGTTAGCTGAATTTACACAGTGCTCTAATGAGAGAAGATGATCAGCTTTATTTAATTCACTTTATTTTTTAGGCTTTTTCTGTAACTGATTATTGACAAAAGTGATTTGCTTGTTTGTTTGTTTTTCAGTATTGCCTGTCAGGGCACCCAACCTTACCATGCAATGTGCTCAAATTCAAATCAACCACCATTATGCTGGACTGTGGACTGGACATGACTTCCACCCTCAACTTCCTTCCTTTGCCACTTGTTCAAAGGTATGTGCTGATGCATCCGAGACAAAATGAGCTTTGGTTTGCTGAAAAACGGTACACAATAGCATCAAGATGACCACTACCTTGTGTGTTGTCCTAAGTTTACTTCGTTCCCTTAAAAATGTTCTTCATCAAAATAATTTCCTTTGGCTGGGTTGATAGAAAGTGTTGTATTGATTTATTGATTGACTTCTTTATTATAACTTCTTCTGAGCTTCTGTTAAATGTTCCTGCAACTACTCAGTGCAAGTGAGGTCATATATATTTCATCTTTCTTGCTAATTCATGTAGGAGCTGATAAATGGTCAACTGATGAGCCCCACGAATTGAGTGTTAGAATCATTTAACTGCCTTTGCAGGGACTTGACATCATAGAGCCTGACATTTCTTTTTGATAGGTATCTATGGATTATTTTCATACTAGTCAGCTGTAGATATCATAGAATCTTACATGAAGCCTAAGTCCATGTCTTAAAGTAGACAGATTACCCCAGGCCTACAGGCAGCACTGTTTACTCTTACTAAGACCTTGTCTAGGAGACTGGTTTTCCAGCTTGCTGTTATTTAGAAGCAGCACTTTGTAAAAGAAGTGGGTAACTTTTAGAAGCAGATATACTCCCAGCAGCAAAAAGTGATACCGCATGAAGGAGGGGAGACAGAAAAGCTATCTAAAGCAGATTTAAGAGCTTATAAAGCATAATGAGCTAGTTAAACCATCTAATGTATCTCATTCACTGCTGAAGACTTCACTGTGTGCAATGATTATTCATACTGATAACCCTGTGAACCATCTAGGAAAAGTAGAATTAAAAATCAACGATTGGGACTTCCCTGGTGGCGCAGTGATTGAGAGTCCGCCTGCCGATGCAGGGGACACAGGTTCGTGCCCCGGTCCGGGAGGATCCCACATGCCGCGGAGCGGCTAGGCCCGTGAGCCATGGCTGCTGAGCCTGTGCGTCCGGAGCCTGTGCTCCGCAACGGGAGGGGCCGCCCGCTACCGCAAAGAAAAAAAAAAAAATCAACGATTGACTTTTTTCTGAGATAAGGGATACAGTAAGGTGATGGGGACAAGGTCAGAGTTAATTCCAGATTACATTTTATGCATAGATGATAAAATTCAGTTATAATCACATCCAGCACTTAGAAATACTTTTACCATCCATAGATATTATCCAGAAGGGGAAAAAAATGTATTTAGAGTTGATTTAGGAACTGTAGGTGTCATATATTTCTCAACAAAAATGACTGCATGTTTTTTATTAAAATACCCTGATATCATTGTCTGTTTCCTTCCAAAGCTTAAAATGTTCATTCACTTGGTGTTAAGAATCTGCAGTGTCCTAGATCAGGGGATACAGACATGAACAAGACAACTTTTCTTTCCTCATGGAATTTATAGTCTGTCAGAGGAGAAAGAATTACACAGTTGAAGATTTAATTATACTTGTGGTACAAAAAATAGCTATATACTTGTGATACTTACTAAAGAAAATAAAATACAGGGTATGCCGAGGGTTCCCAAATGGGGGCCTACATGCTCTGCAGGGTCATGAATCATCTAGGTGTTCAAAACCTGAGTTGGGCATACAGTCCTAGCTACATGTTTTCCCTTTCCTGTTCATTCCTGTCTTTACCTAATTCTGTATTCTCAAGTGAATACAGAATCCAATTCTACTCTCTCTTCCCCTTGTCATTGTTTTTCTCTCAGAGGGAGGTTATACTAATGGGATGATTAACAGCCCATGGCAGTTCCTTACAAAAATTGTCTTCATTTGCTCAGGCCAGAAACCTTGGAGGTCCACTTGGCTAAAATAGTATCCCCGGTCCCTCTCTGTCCCCTCATCCTGCTTTATTTGTCTTCAGAGCACTTCTCATTACATCATATATACATACTTGGTTTATATATTGTCTTTCTTCTCCACTAAAAGTTAAGTTTTATAAGGGCAGAGATTTTGTTTGCTCTCCACTGTATTCCCAGTGCCTAAAAGAGTTCTTGGCATGCAGTAGCTGCTCCGTAAATATTTGTCATAGGAATGAATCCCTTTGTCTTCTCTGGATTTCAACCCTTCTCTCCTTCTGCATCATTTCGCTATTGTAATCTTTCCTTTATCTTGAATCTTTCCATCTTGACTCAGTCCTTCCCATTTAATTATGCTGTCACTTCTAACTTAAAATGTAAAAAAAAAAAAAAATCATTTTAACCTTCTCTCAACCCCACTTTCCCCTTCAGCATTCCTAACTCCTTCCCAGTCTGCTTTGCCCCCACCAACCACCAGAACATCTTTCAGTAAATCACAAATGACTTCCACGTCATTAGCTATAATACGCATTTGTCATCCTCAGCCACTCAGCATCACTCTCCTCCATGATAATACAGTCCTGGTTTTCGTTACTTCTCTGAATCTTTCTCTTCTATCTACGTTGGAGATTCATTTTCCTCTAACTGGCCATCACACATGAGAATTCTTTAGTATTCAGTGCTTGGCCACAGAGGCTCCACCAAGGGAATTTAATAAATGTTCAGAGGGACTTCCCTGGTGGCGCAGTGGTTAAGAATCCGCCTGCCAAGGCAGGGACACGGTTCAAGCCCTGGTCCGGGAAGATCCCACGTGCTGCGGAGCAACTAAGCCCGTGTGCCACAACTACTGAAGCCCTCGTGCCTAGAGCCCGTGCTCCGCAACAAGAGAAGCCACCACAATGAGAAGCATGCACACCACAACGAAGAGTAGCCCCCGCTTGCCGCAAGTAGGGAAAGCCCACGTGCGGCAGCAAAGACCCAACACAGCCAAAAATAAATAAATTTTAAAAAATAAAATAAAAGATAAATGCTCAGGGCCTCAATAACCATCCAGACAATAACTTACAAATGTGTATTTTTAGTTAAGTTCCACATGTGAGTTCCACATTCATAATCATAAATCCAAAATGCCTACTCGGTTTCTCTCCTCGGATGTGCCTTTGAAAGCACTTCAGAACTCACCATACCCCAAACTGAGTTTATGATTAGACTTGGTCCAGAAGAGGAGAGTACACCCTCCCAGACCTGGTTTCCCCCCATGCTGCCCTATCTTAGGGAATGGCACCCTGTTATAAAAGCCAGAGAGCTGGGAGTTCACTTAGATGCCCCCTTCCTCGCTTCCCACATCCAACCTTTCATTAAGCATTGTCATTTTTACCTTCTAGATAGCTCTAGAATCCAGTTACTTCTCTTAAGTGCTACTGTGGTAGTCATCATCCTCTTTTACAGGCATTACTGGTAAAGCTTCCTAACCAGTTCCTTCAATTCTGTTCTTGCCCCTGTCTGAATCCAGAGTCTTCTTTTTGTGTAACTTTTTCTTTTGAAATTGCTTCAGATTTACAGAAAAGTTGCAAGAATAGTTACAGACAATTCCCAGTTACTCTTACCAGTTACTAACATTTTATCACATTTGCTTTATCACTGCCTCTTTATATTACATATGCATGTAGTTTTTTCTGACCCATTTGAAAGATAGACACCGTGCTCCTTTGCCACCTAAATACTTACGTGCCTGTCTTATAAGAAGAAGGACATTCTCTTACATAACCACAGTACAATAAAGAAAATCAGTTAGCATCGATACTATACAAGTATCTGAGCTGTGTACCTTATTTACATTTCCCAAGTTATACCAGTTCATATTTCACTGTAATGCCTTTTATAGCAAAAAAGAAAAATAACTTACTGGTCTAGGATCCAATCCAGATCACACATTGCATTTTGTCACGTCTTTAATCTCCTTTAATCTGGAAGAGTTTCAGTCTCTATGTCTTTCATGACCTTGCCATTTTTAGGAGTGCAGGCCAATTATTTTATATAACATCTTTCAATATAGGTTTGTCTCACGTTTCCTCATAATTAGGTTGGGGTTACTATTTTCGGTAGGAATATCACACAAATGATGGTACGTGTTATCAGAAGGCACTTGATGTCAATTTTCTCCAAAATCACCTTTTAGAAATACAGATCTAATCTCGTCTTTCACCTGTTTAAGACCTTTCAGTGGTTTTTCCATTGCTTTTAAATTTATTTATTTATTATTTTTGGCTGCGTTGGGTCTTCGTTGCTGTGTGCGGGCTTTCTCTAGTTGCGGCGAGCAGGGGCTACTCTTCTTTGTGGTGCGCGGGCTTCTCATTGCGGTGGCTTCTCTTGTTGCAGAGCACGGGCTCTAGGCGGGCGGGCTTCAGTAGTTGTGGCATGCGGGCTCAGTAGTTGTGGCACACAGGCTTAGTTGCTCCGCGTCATATGGGATCTTCCAAGACCAGGGCTCAAACCCGTGTTCCCTGCATTGGCAGGCAGATTCTTAACCACTGTGCCACCAGGGAAGTCCCCTCCATTGCTGTTAGGATAAATGCCAAGTCAGTCTTGGTACATTAGGCTTTATGCCTCTCTTCTAGTATCTTGCTCTTTCTTTTCTTTCAGTTTCAAAGAAGTCTTATCTCCTGCCTGGGAGCAGTCACACAGATTGTTCCTTCAGCCAGGAAGCCTCTTCACCCCTCCCTGAACCCACCTTCCCTTAGCCTATTTAGCAGGAGTTCCTCTCTCAGATCATTTATGACTCCAGTTTCTATATGGGAAGGACAGAGAGAAGGCATTTTAGTTGGTTGAGGGGGAGGGTATATATAGGACCCTCCTTGAAATTTCATTTGGATAACCTTTTTTTTTTTTTAAGATATCCATGCCAAAGCCTGGTGATAATGGTTGGAGGAAAGTCCTGGGCCTTGTAGCTGTCTTCTTTCTTTATTCCCTCCAGACCTTGCCCCTTGACACAGTTTCCCCTTGACTCTGCTACCATCCAGATGTCAGCTCGTTCTTCAGAGACTCAAGGAAGTCTTGATGCTGCCTAGACGAGTCCCTTGTTAGGAGACTTTGTGGTGCCTTGTGCGCTGTGTGCTGCCTCATCATTCGTAACAGCTTGTTCTCTGTGTGATTACTTGATCTGTCTGTCTTCCCTAACCCCTCAGGAGGACAGGCGCGTTTTGCTCATGGTCGTATCACCAGCAGCTGAGTGCTCGACACATAAATCAAGATTCATTAATGAATGAGTGAAGATGAATACCTTATCCTCCTTCAGTACTTCACCAAATGATGAGGTTGTTTCCTGTCCCTCTTTCTGGAAAATCGCCCTCTGTCTTCACCTCGTAACTCCTGTTCCCTCTCAAATTTTGTAATCATTAGGAACAAAGTAATAAATCTCTTCCTCTTTGGTAGCTTAAAGTTTGCTAACTCTTCATGGTTTAGTCATTAACTTGTTGGTCCTCAGTAACAAAATATTTTCATCTCTGTAGTCAGCATCCATTTGCCATCTGATGACGCATTTGTGTGCCCCTTTATCATTGGCACTGTTGCTATAACATGGTCTTGCTCTCCTTTGAGCACTCAGTACCATCTACTAGCAATTTCTTAAATCCAGAATAACTACAGATATTTCATAGAAGGCTTTGATGTTATAAAAAAATGTTTAGCAAGAGTTAAAACCACAATACCTTAAATTTTTACTTAAAAAAATTTTTTTTTATAAGCAGTGTACCATTTCTTCTTTTGTTTTTTAATTTTGCTACACCAGGTCTTAGTTGTGGCACGCGGGATCTTTTTTTTTCAGTTTTAGCATGCAGGCTGTTAGTTGCAGCATGCGGGATCTAGTTCCCTGACCAGATCCCCTGGGCCCCCTACATTGGGAGTGCAGAGTCTTAACCGCTGGACCACCAGGGAAGTCCCATAAGCAGTGTACCATTTCTAATCACTTGTTGAGGACAAAACTAATTGAATCAGTCATCTGTAATTTGGAGGTTGACTTGTGTGTGTCTGATGGAGAACAGACAGGATGCATGTCCTTTGATCCAGTTCTCTTTGCAAAGGGAAGTGGATATTTACAACTTCTTTTAGAGAGTTAGTGTGCATGAAATGAGAACAGTATTCGGATTGTCTCGTCATTACACTTTTATTAGAATGCTTGGTTTTTTAATCTGGTCTGGTAGTAAATAATATTTTTTAAGAAGTAAGAAGTCTATAAGTGAAGGTATATATGTGACTGAAATGAGATGGGAATTAAACAGCTAATGGTAATAGAGTATTTTTCTGGGAAAGCTTCCAGAGTTTTAAAAAAAAGTTTTTCAGGTATAATGTATGCCAACCAAACTTGATTCTCCTAGTAGTAATTTTCATTCTCAAGAATGAGATCCAAAAATTCTCACTTTTTGATTAATAAAGGGAAAATGTAAACAGAGAATCTAGGCAAGGGGTATGCGGGACATCATTGTACTTACATTCTTACAGCTTTTCTATGAGCTAGTAATTATGTCAAAATTAAAAGTTACCCCTTAAATTCTCACTTTTTTTCTAAAATTAGATACATGTATATTTTATTCAGGTTTTTAATCTTTCCTAGAAGATTGACAAATATTCACATATCTATGTTTCAATTTGACTTTCGTACCTACCACCTAATTACAAAGTCAGAATTTGATAAACTTATTTTAGAGAGAGGATCCAGTGCTATACGTTAACTTGGTTTCTGATTATAGAGTCTTTTAGTCCCACGCCCATACTTTGCCTTTAATTTTTACTTCACAGACTAATTTTGTGTTGAAGTGCTAAATCCTTTTGCCATCCAACTTGTACTTCTGTGTGCTTTTCTTCATATATCACCTTGATCGTTAAGTTTTTCTTTTTACCAGCATTTTTTTTTTTCTCCTGAGTTATTTGCATTTTCAACCTCCAGTTTTGGTCAACCAATAGCACACAGTTAAATCCTGAGCTTACCAGAGTGAATGATTTCTGATTCAGACTTCTTTAATGTAATGTATATGTGAAATTAACCTCACCTTCTAGAAATTACTCACTTAGGTGTGTATTTCATAACGCTTAGGAAAACTAGCTTCATTTTCCAGAATTGGAAACTCAAGCCGCGGGTAACAAGTTGACTAATTCATTTATAAGCAATGAATCCAGAAGGTGGACTCAAGCAGAATTCAGGTTTTTATTTGTGGTGAATTCTGGCTGGTAGGCAGCTTAAGTGCTCTTGTCAGACACCTGACCCCTCTGAGTCTGTTTTGTCATCCACAATATAATGGTCCCATTCGGCCTTCCCCTCAGGCTTGTTGTCAAACACAAGCAAGGTGAAGTCGGGGCCAGTGATGGGAAAACTGTACAATGCTCTAGTGTCTCATCATTCTTTTTTCTCTTTATTATTCTGCATAGCATTCTTTTAATTTTCCCAATTTAGCGCAAAACTATTTGGCTTTTTAATGTTCTACTGCCACTAATTCTTAAGCTTGATACCACATGGTTATTTTTCATCTTTTTGATTAGTATTTTGGGTAGGCATTGCTGCCAGTAATTTCAAACTGTTTTTCACTTTATGGAGCCAGTACAGTCACCGTGAAATCACTGAGGATTATAATCTATTTAGGATAATTTAATCTTTTGTTTTGCAGTCCCAGGCTGTCTAATCTTCCTGGCTGGTCCCTGAAGGATGGAAATGCTTTCTTGGACAAGGTAATGATTAGCTGAAGCGTATCTACACCCACTGGAAAGCCATCTTGTCATACCGGAGCTGCCCGATAATAATGTGACTGATGGGCTCATTTTTTCCCCTGTGTCTTCTCCCTGAAAAATCCCATGTAAAGTCTTCAGTACTTGGTAATTATTGTTTTTAAGAGCCTTTTAAGGAGTCTCAGTGTTCAGGTACAGATCCAGTTTTCTCATGTGTAAAATCTAAGAACTTCTGCTGCAAATACATTTTACCACCACAAAAAGAAAACTATTATTTTTAGAATTGCAGTGAGAGTTTCAGTGGTGATGCTTATTAGAGAATTCCATCTAGCTCGTTTTTTCTTTTTTTTCTTTTTTTTAAAGATTTTCTTTTGATGTGGACCATCCCCAAAGTCTCTATTGAATTTGTTACAATACTGCCTTTTCTTGGTTTTTTGGCCCCGAGGCATGCGGGATCCCAGCTCCCTGACCAGGGACCGAACCGAATCGCACGCCGCCCCCCATCAGAAGGTGAAGTCCCAACCACTGGACCACGAGGGAAGTCCCTAGCTCATTTCATTTTGAGGCTGTACTGACTCTCCACCTGTAAGGAGTGAACTTTTTTTTTTTTTTTTAATATCTTTAAAATCCCCCCAGACATTGTGAGTTTTAAACTGCTCTGTCAGGGGTCAAATCAGCTAGGGCTTTGTAAAAAGTCTGAGTCTTATTCTTTGGGTGATGAGAGGCCACCAAGGGTTGCAGCGGGCAGTGTCTTCCTCTGCTCAGACCGCTTTGGCTGCCATGTGGAGAACAGACTGAGGAGCTGAGTGTTTAACTGCCGGGCAGTGTGCTCTTGGGGGAGTGGGAGGGAAGCATGTTTTCAGGTAAATATGAACAAAGGGCCTTCCAGACTGTGATCCGTGATCCTGGTAGCCTGGAGTGGACACTCCTATAGGTTGTGAGAAAACAACATAGTTCTAGGAATCTAGGATTTGGGGTCCTATTATGACTTTAATCACTAACTAGGCCTAAAGTAAATGACTCAAATTACTTTTTTTTTTTCAAGGCTATTAAATTTTTAACATTAGATTATCTTCACAATAATTCCTTCCTCAGATCAGTTTTTAGGCATTTAACGTATACGTAACAGACCAGAGATACAAAAAAATGTTAAAACTATAATCTAGTCAAATTTTCTCCTGAAAAAAATCAGAGGGTAAAGGAAGATTAAAAACTGTCAAGCTTATCCATGCCATTCTTAGGCCTCCAAATCATTCTTCCTCTCCCCAGTTTCAGAATTGAAAGACTGAATAAGTGTAAGGATCCTTAAAATGATTCATCTGAATTGAATAAGGCATTTCCTTCTTGTAATTGGTATTGTTAAATAAAGAGGTGCTCTTTTTACAGAATTAACTCCTGTCCCTACACCCCAACCTCGAGTGCAAGCCAAATGCATGATTTGAAACCAGATTTCCCTCATAGCTAACTGTAAAAATTATGTGACAATCAAGAATCTGTGCACCTGATGAAATTTCCGCCTAACTCTCTGCTGGCTGTAAATCATTGTTCCCTGAGAAAGGCTCAGAAGCATCCCATTACCTGTGCATTGTGAGCAAAATGACTTGCATGTCTATGTGGGAGCATTTCATTAGGAGGGAGTGGTGAATAAAATAGAGTAACATTGTAAGTGCGTGGAATGGCAAATATGCTGCTCCAGGCCAGGAAGGATGAGAGCCTCAGAGGAGGCTCTGTCATGTGAGGTACACATACCCTGGTACATGGCAATATGGCGAAGAAGATTACATAGTCAATTTAAGGCCAGGCAGCACTTATATATTTCCCATGATTTGTCTTTAATCATTTTTAACCTCATCCTAAGGGAGCTGGGAGTCTTCTTCCATTAAACATAATTGCTCATTTGTTTTTAGCTGGCAGGTACATTGTAATTAAGAATGGTTTTCAGGGCTTCCCTGGTGGCATAGTGGTTGAGAGTCCGCCTGCCGATGCAGGGGACACGGGTTCGTGCCCCGGTCCGGGAGGATCCCACATGCCGCGGAGCGGCTGGGCCCGTGAGCCATGGCCGCTGAGCCTGTGCGTCCGGAGCCTGTGCTCCGCAACGGGAGAGACCACAACAGTGAGAGGCCCGCGTACTGCAGAGAAAAGGAAAAGGAAAGAAAGAAAAAAAAAAGAATGGTTTTCAGTCTCCTTTTGGTTCAGCGCTCTACTGGTTAAATGGTACTCGTATAAGGAGAGGAACCAGAGTTTACAGTGGAAGGCAAGGGGAGGAAATATTCTATCAAGGTTCTGATAGGAGACTTGTAAAATTCAAAAGGAAAATAACATACAGTTAATACCTTATTTTCAGGTAAAGATTGAGAGTAAAATCATTCAGACTCCAGTATATAAATATAGGTACATATATATGAATATATAGAAATTTATGTTTGGTGACTAATGAAAACACAATGGAACAAAGTTCTAACAGTATTTTTCTCTTTCCAGAAAGAGGAAACTGTCAACCAAAATCTATCTTTTAGTGGTTTCATTATAGAGTCATAGATAGCTTTAACTTTGGAGCAAAAACTCCTGCATAGAGTTCAGTATAAAGTGTCATCAAGGGAAGGCAGCAACTCTGGTGGCCTCCTGGGAGCATTGTAGCAGACTCTGTTGGTGGCCCACTCTTGTCTCTTCAGTGTCCTATGTCATAAATCCAGCTGCCAATACCTGTATGCCTTTGCCTGACAGTTTTTTCCTAAAGCTGCCCCAAATGCACGAGTTGCTATATAAATATCCCAGGTCCCTTGCCCCTGAGTGGAATAACTCCCAGGTATATGTTTGATACTGTTTCTTAGAGTTTCCCCATGGGAGTGACTCCCTGTTGCCCACAGTGGTATGTAGCTCTGTAACATATTCGTTATCGGTCACCTGCTTTTCCCTTTATTTATCACTTGCCCTTCCTCCTGCTGGGTTTTTTGTTGTTTGTTTGTTTTTAGCACCTCCCTTATAAGCTTTCACACACCCTTTCTCAGGATCTGTTTGTGAAAGAATCCAAAGTAAGACAGGCACATTAAATACTGTAGGTCACAGGCAGAGTGGGAGCTGCACTAAATTCTCTCTCTTTATAAGTACACTTTTTTCTTTTGAATGGTGGTGGTGGTGGTTTAACCCCTACCCTGTACTCTTCATCTCCCTCCTTATTTGCCCCTCAAACCTTGGTAGGAGGAGAAAGGGGCTCTAAATCATTTGTCTATGCCCTGGACTCCTAACCTAATTGCAGAACAAAATCGCTGGAGGTGCTTGTTATAAACACAGGTTCCATGGCCTCATCCTTAGTTTCTCATCCCTTAGATCTTAGGTAGGGCCTAGGAATCTACTTCCATCAGTGTTCCAGATCATTCTGGTATTGCTGGCATGGTCCATCTAACAGTTATTTGGAAAGCTTTGGGTCATGAGTTATGGAAGCAGCATGTGTCCACACATGGCTTCCTTGAAGAGGCATCAAGAAATGTGCATTCAAGTCCTGAGTCAGCCACCAGCCAGCATTTTTTTAATCCTAAATAAAACATTTAGCCTCCCTGAGCTTAAACAATGAACAGTTGGCCTAAATAAGCTTCCAGCTTCCCTCCAACTCCAGCAATCTGTGATATTTCATGGAAAGTTTGGTTTGGGGATGAAATTTCTTTGGCGCTGTATCTATTGGATATTACTTCCTAGAATTTTTTCTTTTCATGTCTTTTAGGAGCTAAAGGAGTGCTCAGGTCATGTATTTGTGGATTCTGTGCCTGAATTCTGCCTACCAGAGGTAAGGTTAAAGTGAATCTTGTTGTAGAAACAAAGCATATCTTATCATCTCTCAAACTGAAATCAGGAAATAATTTTCAGGGGCTTAGCTTCCTATTTTCAAATTGAAATGGATCTGTTATTCTAGGCACTTTGTTTTACAGCTAAAATATCATTTCGGAGCTTTTTATATTGTCTGTAAATCACTGAAGTCACTCTCTTCTTCCCGTCCCTAGCTTTTTCTATAACCCACATTGACAGACACTGGAGCATAGTTTTGAGCAAGGTAAAGAAATATCTCAAGCCTTTTAATTTTGTAATTACAGTCATCCCTCGGTATCTGCGGGGGATTGGTTCCAGGAGCCCCTGTGGATACCAAAATCCACGGATACTCAAGCACTTTATATAAAATGATGGAGTGCAATGAATAGAGGTTTCACAGCCACAGATACAGAAGGCCGACTGGATAATGCCTGTGTCTTAGGTTAGCCATACTTTTTCTAGTCTTGGGTAATTGGGAGTTGCTGTTATCTAGCCAGCATAGTAAACTGTAAAAATTCTTGCTGACTTGAAATGACATATGGAATATTGCTTGAAATTCATGGATTCTGAACTGAGTCATGGATATCTGTTGCTTACATATTATCATCACAGTGAGACTTGTTATAAGTGTTTGAGTCCAGTTTCATTGTTTTAAAGGAAACAAAGATCAGTTTGCATTAGCCTTAAAGGAAACTAATCTCAGCTGACAGACCTAATCCCCAGAGTGGCCTAGATGGAGTTCTCAGTTCACAGCTGAAGTATAGGGAAGCCAGTAGCCAGTCCAGGGTTCCTGAGGAAATCAATAAGAAGCTACCATTCTATTCTTTCCGTGTGCCCAGGGGATGTCAGTGCCTGTCGAAAATACTTTCACATTTCAGTGCCAGAGAAAAAAGAAATTGGGAGTGCTGTGTCCCTTATTTTTGTCCTTTCTTCCTCTCTCTCTTTCCATTTCTACAACTTCCTTTGATATCCTTTAGATAAACTTTTTTTTTTCTCTCTTTGAAGTAGGTGATGTGCCCTTTTAGGACACCAGAGTGAAAGAGAGGAAGAAAAACAAAGAAGGACGTGGTAATTGAAATTGGCAAATAAGGGAGAGTTTGAGGTAAACTAGTAGGAACAAGTGTGAAAGTAGACAGTTATTGAGAATCCTGAGCTCTCCCTAACTGCTAATAAAATCTTTTTTGTGATCTTCATTTGTCATTTAGGAGTTGGTGGGGCAGTTCCCCATCTGTTCAAAGATTCCTAATCGTAGGTGCTACATTTATTGTCAGTTTACTGCCTGTGGCACTGACTGGTGCAGCCTTCAGCTTGTGGCCCTCAGTGGAGGATACCTGGCTTGGAGTTCTGGTGACTTTCTGACTTGCTCCATCAACTACTAAGCTTTGAACTTAAACAGTCACCGTCTCACAGTTCACCTTTGCCAAGCTAAAGCAGCACTGTTATATTTAGGGTTCTAAAGCCATATAGGTTTTTTCAACTAGTGTCATAATTTGTGGTTTATGACAAGTTATTAGTAGTCACTATTCTAAGGGAAACCAGGGCATTGTATGATCAGGAGAAAATATGAGAGTTGTTGAATTAGGAGAGAGGGACTTACTACACTGTCCAATCTTGGCTGACTTGTGGCTGAGCCAGGCAGAACTGAAGTCCCAGTCCTCATGGAATTTATAATCTAGTGCAGCTACCTTAAATATCTTTGTATTCCCCCAAAGTCTACACTGTAGACTGTGCATAAAGTCTAGGACAGTATAGTAAGCAACCAATAAATTATGATTGTTTTGACCCAATTCATGGTCTGTAGAACCCAAGTGTCTGTATATAAAAGTTTAAAATTAAAATAGTCTTTATGGGATTTCACTGAGTGAAAGTATGCAAGTAAACATATAGATGTGAATATATAAACATAGTTTGGGTGTTAAATTTATTTCTCAGGGGAAAAATTTTTATGTAGGCACTCTTGATATATATACAAGCAGAAAATATATATATATATTTTTTTTCTCCCCAGCTGTCCTCACCAAATTTCTTATCATTCTAGACTCTATGGGTTGATTCTTAAATAGTAAAGAGAAATTTCAAATATTCCTACCCAGTTTCTGTATAGGTAGAAAGAAGGTAGGGATGCTTTTGGGTTTTACTGTTGCTTCAACTCTTCTTCCCTTGTTTTCTTCTGGACGTATCACTCTGCTGCTATGTCTTAATCTTCTCATTTGTTTAAAAATGCTTCTAGAGAGTTGGTGGGGAATAGGACCAGCAGGATGTCCCATGACCCTTTGTTATGTGAGGATATTGTCTTGGAAGTGCAGTACACAGCATGGAGTTAAGTTATGTCCTTAGACATTTTATTCACACAGATTGCCATTGCCCCGGCGGTGAGCAGCTTCTGACCTCTAATCTCCACGCTGTCCTCAGAAGGTGATTATGCCTTGGCGGGTTTATTAAATCAACTTACTTTACACATAAAGTCACCACCCAGAAGATACCCACAGCCAAAATGGTATACTGTCTCTGTTATTTGCAAAGAGGGCACAGACATCTTTGTTACTTCTACTCCGTGGGGGACATAGTAGCTCTGTGACCCATTCTGCTAACTAAAACTCTTTCTTGAGTTACCCCATGCTGTCCGTACTCTACCATACAGTTTCCACGGGGTAAGTTCCGTGAGGGAGAGCTCAGAGACTAAGATGATATCTCTGAACCGCTGCATCTCACTTTTCTCCACAGAGGGTGCTGCTTATAACGATGCAGTCCTCCAACAACAGTGCGCCAAGGCCTGTTATGTCCTGGCTACCACAGCGGGGAGGGGACAGAGCTGAGTCACACAGGATTCTTGAGCTCAGAGACATTCAGTTTTGGGGGGACAAAATGATAACTTTGAGCTGCCTGCCTTTGTACAGAATAATAACTGCCACGAGAGGGATATTCATAAAGTGCCTTGACAGTTCAGAGGAAGAAGTGGTTTCTTTCGTCTGGGCAAATAAGGAAGGCTTAGTGGGAGAAGAGAATTGAGCCTTAAAAGGCAGGTAGGACTTAAATTTATGGAAAAAAAGTTCCCTTCTACTAAAAGAGTTTTCATAAAAATTTACCAAACATGGGTAGCATTTTTTTCTCACCTGCCAACCTGTCTTTTCCCTTTTCACATGACCTTAATAATGGAGTGAAGGGTAGAGCGGGGGTTGTGATTAGGGTAGAACACAAGAGTATAACCTCCTCTTATGCCTCTGCCACTACGTTTGCGGGGGGCTCTATACCCAACACTAGCGGTCAGAAGTTACTCCAAAAACAGTTGCCTCCCGCATTTGACTTCTGAAGAGCTGGTTTCCGTGTGCCTCTCCCTCACGGCTGATGCTGTGCTGTCGGCTCCGTGTTACCTCGTTCCCCCTGCCAGGCAGCAGCTGCTGAAGTGTCCTGTTGTCGTTCATCCTCACACGTCTGACTCGCAGAACTCTGTTTTAGTAAAATCAGAGCACCTCTGGCGGGCGGGCTGCACATCTCATCCGTAGCCATCCTGTCCTGCCGCGTAATGTCAACATTAGGAAATATCCTAAAATGAGAGAATAGAAGTGTTGCAGGAAAGCCATCATTATTCTGTAGTACCAAAGCCGCTCCTCTGCATTCTGGCAACATCATATTTCAGTCCCATCACTTTGATCTATGTGCCCCGCACAGTTATCTATCATTCCCTCCCCTTTCTTTTCAGACCGAGCTAATAGATCTGTCTACGGTAGATGTGATCCTCATCTCTAACTATCACTGCATGATGGCTCTGCCCTACATCACTGAGCACACGGGGTTCACAGGCACGGTCTATGCCACAGAGCCCTCCGTTCAGATCGGCAGGTGAGAGCATTTCTTCTTGTGCCATTAGAGAGTGGCTGGCGAGCTCCTCCCTTCAGTGGTGACTGTTAATAGAGTGTTGTGCGAGGTGGGATTGTTATTTCCCTCTGAGCAGCTGACCCAGAGAACAGGCACGAATAGACAACTCTCCAGATAAAACAAATGTTCTTTGGAGTTGCCTAGAGACTGATGCTGCGAGTAATGGTCGTTAGTCTTTTTTAGAAAAACGGGAACAGGGAGTTTGCAGAGACAGCTCCTCTGTGCAAATGATACTAATTAGGGGAAGTATCGTTCAGTAGGATGCCCCCAGGATGCAGTGCAGAGAGCTTCGGGAGAGAAAGGAGCACAGCATATTTAAGAAAAGAGGAAGAAATTTTACTACTTTGCTTTCAAAATTTCCCCCCTCTTATGGTTTAGTGCAGACTATAAATGGGGACGGCTTGTAGAAAACAGGGTAATTAGGTGGTTACGTTGTCTGTACTGTTGACATAGTGAAACTCGGGACTGTATGGAATAAAAACCTCAGAGCCTTTCTTTGACTCTGAGAATGCTGTGCTGTCTCTTCCCCTGCCCCTCCCAAGCCTCCATGGGACAGATGGTTGTTTCAAGTAACCATAGCATCATTTAGTGAGAAGAAAATTACCCCAGAAGAAAAGAATTGTGTTGAAGCAAACAAAGAAGTATGGTATAAGGTAATACTATCAAGACCCGAAATATGGGATCTAAGTGCTTTGGGTTCTAGAATCTGACTGAAGTCCAATACGATGGAATTACCAGAAATGAAACAAAATATGTCCTTGTTTTTGTGTCAAACCATATTACCTGCGGTGTGTACAGAAAAACATGAAGGATCTGAGGAAGAGACACTGTAGGAAAGTAAAGTACTCAAAGTGATTTAACAGTTTTGGTGAGAGGACAAGCTGAAAACATTAGATTCTAGTCTGAAAAAGTTAAAGCCTGAGGATGGACATACCAGACAGTTCTCCAGAAAGCTACAGCCAGAACAATAATGAGCCTGGATCCCGGATCTTAGAATGCTGGAACTGGTACTGCTCCTTCAAGATGAAAGACAATTTAAAAAAAAAAAAAAACAGATGAAAGACGATGATAGTGTTAGGAATAAGTAAATAAGTGGAAATGAAGTTGTTCGGCATTCAAATGCTAATAAATTTATGGCTTGCCATGTCTGTGTGTTTATTGGGAGAGGATTTAAGTCAATGTGGAACATCTGTACTGGATTATGTAGGGGATTCAAGATGTTGAAAGTCTATTTCTAGCTTTTTGGTCGTCCCCTAGCCATCCAGGGCCCCATCAGTGCTCTGTTCCCATGTATTCCTCAGAGCATGGGATCATCGATCCAGTTGAGTGAGGCATCTTTTAGATTCCCTCAGCTGTGATTCTGTGGTGATCCAGCTTGTGATCTGCAGAGCCTGTCCTCTGGCAGGTCCTTGAGTTAGAGTTTTAGGATTAGGCCTTCGAGTCTTCTTCCATGTGGAATTTTGTTAATTCCTAAAATGTATGTGAAGAAAACTTATTTTACCAGTTTAAAATGTCCATTTAATATTGTCACTAAAAAAAATCCTACCCCCACCTCTGCTACCACCAAAATCAGGTACTTCATGCTCATTTAACTGTTTGTCCTTTTGCGTTTTTAATTACCTAAATAAATAAAGGCAGAGGTCTTAAGAGTGTGAGTTAAACCATAGGCTTATATATTTCATTGTTTAGAGACAAGAAGCACACCAGGCTTATGAATTAAATCATTTACATTCAGAATTTTTAACGTGAAAATTCAACGCAAAGGCTAGGTTTTTGTTCAACTTTATGTAAAATGGTGCCCACGTTTATGTGCAGCAGAGAGAGGAAAGACGACTGGGGAGGGCAGGCAGGCAAGCCCGCTTCTCTTGGCTACAGTGTTAAGAGTGCCATGTTTTTCTGATTCCTTTTTGAGTGTTCATCGCTTTCTTTGTTTAAACTCAGGCTTCTCATGGAAGAGTTGGTGAACTTCATTGAACGCGTGCCCAAGGCTCAGTCTGCCTCCTTGTGGAAGAACAAGGATATTCAGCGGTAAGCAGCAGGCCGTCTACCCACCATGGCAGTAGAGCTGGGGGCTTTGCAGAACAGTCTCAAATGTTACCGTATTTTCTGCTCAAACGTTTATGCTGTTAGAATTAAGATTCCCCTTTCGCTGTGTTATGGAAGGGTTGTGTTTGATTCAACCGTTGTATTTGAGAGGCAGCCGTACCATATGCAAGGTAGTATGCTAGGTCTGGGAGGTGTTTTTTTTTGCAGTACTCGGGCCTCTCACTGTTGTGGCCTCTCCCGTTGTGGAGCACAGGCTCCGGACGCGCAGGCTCAGTGGCCATGGCTCACGGGCCCAGCCGCTCCGCAGCATGTGGGATCTTCCCGGACCGGGGCACGAACCCGTGTCCCCTGCATCGGCAGGCGGACTCTCAACCACTGCGCCACCAGGGAAGCCCTGGGAGTTTTTAAAAATAAGTACAACAGTTGGCTGTCTCTATGAGGTGCTGAGGGGTTAATGGGAAATCGGACAATTAAACAGCTAAATTACCATCTTGGGTGGCATGTGTTATAAGAGATGCCTGGTCACAATGCTGTAGGCACTCAGAAAATGAAGAACTTTCTCTGCTTAGGGAACTGAGGAGGACATTCCTTAGGAGATGACAATTAAGGTGGGTCTCAGAGGAAGGAAAGGACTTTTCCTGATAGAAAGGGTCGTAAAGTGGGGTCCAGGCACAGCACCGTAGGATATAGTATATTAGGGAACAGTGAGAAGTTCAGGGTGGGTTAGAATTAGCTGAGTAAAGAGGTGAAAGGCAAAACCAGACAGGGACATTGGAGCAAGATAATGAAGCGTCTGCTGTGTCAAGATGGAACTTTTTATTATTGAGAGCGGGAAGCCCATCAGGGGAGGTTGACAAGGCGGTGAATGACGTGATCGCGTATTTTTTTAGGGGAAGTAACCCTGGAAGCATAAGAGAGGATGGATGGGGGTGCAGAGATGGGGGCGGGAAGCCCAGCGGCAGGGCTGATTCACAAACCCAGGCAAGAGAACACAGGCCTGGGCTAAGACTGTAGGTGATGAGGTGAAGTAAGTAGAAATGCAGTAGGGGAGGCGGGAGGCAGCTTGATTCTACTTCCACTCTCATATTTGATCGGCAGCAGAGGACACGAGTCAGCCCTAACATACTGCAGTTGGTCCAGCCCTGCCAACTGCTGCCCTCACCTCCCGGCACCGCAGCCCCAGCCATCCAGGCCTGGCGTCCAGAGTCTGGAGTAAAAGCCCGTCTGTGACTTCTTAGGTCACGTGCGTTCCTTACACTCCTACCCAAGCCCACTCTTCTCCAGCTACCTCGCCACTGGGTTCTCTTTCCCTCTAGGTCCGTGATTTGTTTGCCATCTACTTAACTAAACTTTAGAATGTCTTGGCTTTTGTGACATTCTTTCTACAAGGATATGAATATGTAGCTAGGAGAATATGCTGTGGTTTTTATACTGTAACTGTCTCAGAGTTTGAGCACGTGAGTCTCCTCCTTTATGCATTCCTTTTTGTACGTGTTATTTATTTTATTTAACTTATGTAGCACTTGTTATGTGCCAGACACTCTTCTCAGTGCTTTATTTAATTCACTTAGTTCTTTAACGTTATCATTTTACAGAAGAGAAAACAGTCACAGAGAGGTTAAGTAAGTTATTCAAGGTCAGCCAACTAGTGGGCAGTAGGATTTGGATTCAAACCCAGGCAGCTGGGCTAGTCTGGTTCCAGAGTCCGGGCCCTTAACGCCTGTGCTGGGCTGCTTCTCAGCCACATACAGGCTTCTCACGGGCATGTGAGCCCCCTCTCATGTGAGGGGAGAAGTAACATAACTGTGCACATTTTCTCCTGTGTTTTATGGATCTTCTTGTTTCTCTGTTTCCTTGACTGGGGATATGGTGTCTGTCTGGCTTCTCATTAGGAAACGCCTTCTGGACACGCACTTGTCTGAGTCTTCTCTGTACACATGGATGGCTTCCTTGATCTGTCCACCCACCCACTTGGTACAGGTCCCCTCCTGTCCTCGTTGTGCGTGCTTATTCTCAGCTCCCTTCCTCCTGCCCACTGCATGCCTCCTTCCCCTTTTCTCCCTCTCCCACGTGCCCACTGGCCCACATTCAACTCACTTCTCTCCATCTCCCTCCTTAGAAACCTGAGGACTTTGTTTTCTTTCCCTGTGGAACACGTACATCTTGGCTTCCCTCACTTCCTCCTTTTAAATTTATACCCTTAAATATTCTGCCACAAATAATTTTGGCACACCAGAAATGATGTTCAAAGGTCACTGTTTCCTGAATCCCAAACCCTGAGCTAAGTCTTAAGGAAGTCCAAGTCCTTATCTTGCCTTTTTTTTCCTGTGACCTTGGGCAGAGTCCTTGGCAGTTTTCTTTGCTTCCCATTCTTTGTAAAATACAAGATAACTGGCTCACCAGAAAAAGGGCCATCATATATTAGGGAAAAAGGTGAGTTGAACTTGAAGGAGCAGAGGACTAGGGAGGGGGCCAGAAAGTTATTTCCTAAGGTGCTTAGGAAATCGCCCTTTTTTAACAAAGGTGCTAGTTGAAATAAAACCTTGAATTTGGGGCTTCCCTGGTGGCGCGGTGTTTGGGAGTCCGCCTGCCAATGCAGGGGACGCGGGTTCGTGCCCCGGTCCGGGAAGATCCCACATGCCGCGGAGCGGCTGGGCCCGTGAGCCATGGCCGCTGAGCCTGCGCGTCCGGAGCCTGTGCCCCGCAACGGGAGAGACCACAACAGTGAGAGGCCCGCGTACCGCAAAAAAAAAACCCAAAAAAACCTTGAATTTGCTGTCTCGCCACCAGGTGGGCAAAAATCAGAAGTTGTTGAGAGCTAACTTGGTAGAGAAGAAGTTGGGCCAGTCGGAGACTGTATTTCATTACTTCATGCATCCTGACCATAGTTCTGATCCTGGTCAAGCATTTTGTTTTGGCTTTTGAGTGTGAGATGAGCCATAGTTACTGACAGACAAAGAGAAGAGTCAAATTATTGGAACGATTGTGCTGAGGTGTTAGACAAACCAAGAAAGCTGTGTCCTGTTTTTCTCTTGGAGAAACTCAGCATAAATATTAGAAGTGGTAGGAAAATTTGAGGAGCTATTTTTTAATTGACATCAGATAAGAGAATTCTTTTGAAATATTCACCTAGAATTTAATCTTGGGCCAGAATACTAAAAGTGCTGCATTTGAACATTTATGCTGAAGGATTTACACCACTTTAAAAGTCCCCTCCGTCATGAGCTAGTTGATATCAAGTGTCCCAAGATGCTGTGACATACTGTATTGAGAAGCACTGGGGTTTTTTGTTTGTGTTTTTGTTTGTTTGTTTTTGCCGTCTAGTACAGTGACTAAGTGATGTGGGCTTTGTCTTCTATTTATTTATTTATTTATTTTTTAATTCCTGCACTCTCCTTGTCCAGTTCCTATAAAATAGGGGTCACAAACTCAGATGCCTCCAGGGGTGAGGAAGGGGTTTATAGGTAAGTACAGGAGTGAGGTGGGCTGCCAGGAATTGTGGACCAGTGACCACACCTCTCTAAAAGGGCAGCTGACACACGGCTTCAGCAGACTTTTGGCGGTATGGGAAAGTGAGCGCATCACTGCCAAATCTTCCCTTTTACTTTTTTTTTTTTTAAAAAGAAGCTCTAAATCTGGATGTTTTAAATGTGATTTTTTTTTTCATCTTTAAAAAATGTTGGCTCTCACATTAAAGTAAAATTCTGTATGATCCAAGCAAAACACCTCCATGAGTTGGATTTGAGCCCCCAGGTTTTGACTTATACTTAAACGTTTACAGGCAGTCTCTTGGTTAAATGTCAAGAATTAATGCATCTTAGTAGCTTAAGAATAAGACCAACTAAAAAAAAAAAGAATTAAAATCCTTCAGATTCATTGGTTTCTGACAAACTCCTTTAAATCACAGGAAGTTAGTTTGAATTAGCATTTGATTTAGTATTAGTATGTTTACCAAAAAAAAAAAACCCATTACTCTTGCTTTTTGGCAGCTGCCTCACTCCCTGTCTCAGTCGACACTGCTCCCTGAGATTTATTAAGAAGTTAGCCATCCTTCTTCCTCATTTTGACGTTGTAGCTTATACTTCTTGAAAAAGAGATTTTTGAAGGGTAGGAAAAGGAGAATCCCTTACAAATTTTCGAGCCTCTGACATTCCCATACGCACTTCAAAATTTAGGTTTTTAATGGGAAAATTTAAAGCACAATATTCCACTGAAGAAACTTACCCAGTCTCTAGTATTTTTAATATAAGGGCAGCATTTTTTGTATAAGACTAGAAATTTACAATTATAATTAAGAATAAATCATTACAGGGTATTGTCATAATCCTCTGACAAGCATTAAGGAGTTAGGCATTAATATGTTCCTGGCTGAAGTGTTATGGCAGTTTTCAGTACTCAGAGCTTAAAATGTGGGTTTATATCTTTCAGAAGACATAAAATTTTTTTAAAAAGCATATTGTACTTGAAGTTCCTCTGCTCTGACACTCCTTGGGTATTTATAGAGGAATTTATCAGGTCTAACTATGTAGTAGGAAGAAAATTAAAGCTACGGGCTTGGAGGTCAAATAGACTGGTGTTTGAGTTCCTTCCAGATCTGCTTCTTAGCTGCAGAAGTTTATTTCTTCTAGGTTCTGTTTCCTCGTTTATAAAATAGAAATAATATTAGCAACTTCACAAGGTTGTTGTCAGGACTAAATGAGAAATACAAGTAAAGTCCTTAAAACAGTGCCAGGCACACAATAGGTGCTCAGTAAACACCAACAACCTTTCTCCCTTTAATGATACACTTGGTTCACATAACCCCCTTTCAGTAACCAGCACATGTCTGCCTTCCACAGCCTTATTTATCTTTCAGTGCTACCTTTCCTGATGAGAGCAAAGTAGTATAGTAGAAGGAAGATTGTTTTCCTAATCCCACTGTTGCCTCTAGTTAGCAGTGTCATTCAGATTCTGGGACTCAGTCTTCTTTTCTGTAAAATAGC